CTTCAGCTCAAACCAGCACACTAGTAGACTACATTTGTACTTCACCAAGAGTAATCATTGCTCTTGTCCACAAATGTGATGCTCCCAAATACTTACATTGGATCTCTACTGTACTTGAAGGCAGTATTTGGATGAGATGGCAATACAGAGAGCAAACAGAAACATCAAGGAAACAGTTGAGCAATTCAAATACTCTACTTTTTTTCCCTTTCACTTTCTGAATGTTTTCAAGCGTTTGGTATAAAGTATATCTAACCGCTTACAATACCATGATAGAGAAACTTATGACTCATGCGTTAAAATGCTGAAATTTCACAATACATCAGCTGCAAGAGATAAAGGACATGTTTTCCCAATCCAGTGCAGACAGCTGCATGTCCATTCTGCCTCTGATTAAAGTTAGTTGAATGCAAGTAATATTTTGATGTTATGCTAAACCCAAGCTAATGTACCCTTTCTCTCAGGAGATTGCATTCACTTCTGTGCCAACCCCTATGATCCAGCCACATGGCTCCCAAACAAGCTGGCTCAAGTCCAGTCAGCTTGGAGCACAGGTGTGACTGTCTGCACCTGAGAGATGTTTTAGTTCAGGGAAATCTCCGACATGTGGCTGAATGGTTGTGATTTTAGGGAAGAGAGGGAGTGTCTTGCATGTGCACCAGCTAGATGTAGATAAAAGTTTTCAACAGAATCTGCCAACAGAGATTTGACCAAAGTTCTGAATTTCAGTGACAAAGAAAAAAATACTTTACTTTTGAAGTGCATTTTTAGTAAGTCATCTCTGGTCTAATATATACACATGTACCATACACACGAGGTACCGTACACAAGTATACAATGTACTTGTTACAGTCCTTAATTTCTATAGCAAAAGTGTGGTAGGCTAGAGATTCATTGCCTGATTGATATAAATTAACTTAGTCCAGGTGTCATTTGATTCTGTATAGTGTACATTTATAACACCTGTAATTATTCACATTGCAGTTTTAATAGTAGATTGTTCCTGTCATCCCCTTACAGAAATTGAGAAGTCGTCTCAAGGAGAGGCTTTACTGAAAATACTTTCATTACAGACTGAATTATTTGCCCACATGAGATAAGCAGGAGATGCTCTATGGTTATTACAACCTCATCCCTACTTCCTCTGCTTTATTACTTTCCATAAAACTCTCGAGAAACATAAATCCTTGGAATTTATTTTTCTGTTTCATTTCTGCAGAGGCATTATTTGTCAATCACTTAAGTAGATCATTGAAGAAACAGATCAAAGCTAGGCCATGTTGCTGTTTGTCTACTCCTGTTCTTTTAAACATCCCATTACAGCACAGGGCTAAAGAAAGTATTTGGAGGTATTCTGGTATCTGAAAACACCCGTGGGCACTTCATAGAGATTTCCGAAAGCCCACGGTCATGAAACGTACATAACTTTCTTCGTGTTCAAATAAAATGATATTTAAATTATATCAGGGCTTTTCAGAAGCTGTTGTGGTCTATAGAAGTGTTTATCCTTAGATGCACATGTATGTGTGTTTAAGGAGTTTGCTGAACCAAACCGATGTGAGCAGGCAACTCTGTGCTTATCTTCAATCACAGAATCATAGAATTGTAAAGATGGTAGAGACCTCTAAGATCACCAAGTCGAACTGTCAACCTTGCACCACCATGTTCACCATTAAACCATGACCCCGTGCATACATGTTTTTTGAATGCTTCCAGGGACAGTGATTCCACCACGTCCCTGGGCAACCTGTTCCAATGCCTGACAATCCATTCAGTGAAAAATTTTTTCCTGCTATCCAATCTGAACCTCCCCTGATGTAGCTTGAGGACATTTCCTTTTGTCCTATTGCTTGTACTTGGAGAAGAGACCGATCCTCACCCACCACTCTACAGTGTCCTTTCAGGTAGTTGTAGAGCACGATAAGGTCTCCCTTGAGCCTTCTTTTCTCCAGGCTAAACATCCCCAGCTCCCTCAGCCACTCCTCATAAGACTTGTGCTTCAGACCCTTGACCAGCTCTGTTTCCCTTCTCTGGACACTCTGCAGCGCCTCAATGTCTCTCTTGGAGTGAGAGGCCTAGGCCAGAACTGGATACAGTACTCAAGGTGTTGCCTTGCCAGTGCTGAGCACAGGGCAAAGATCACTGGCCTGCTGGCCACACTATTCCAGTCCAGATCCCTTGGTAGAGCCTTCCTACCTTCAGCTTGGTTCCCAGAGAAATGTACACAGTATGATCTATTTTTTCTTTACTTGCAACACAAGGTAAAGATTTTTCAGTCTCTTCTGAGTAGTCATCATCCTTCCTCCCTCTTTTTTTTCCATTTTGTAGTCCTTTCTCTGTAAGAGATCCAAAAGGCCTCATTTGTAGAAAGTTATGAAAAACAAGAGATGGGTTTAGATAATCTAACTAATTACAGAAACTCAGAAAGTTTACTTTTATGTATAACAATTGCGTCTATTTCTTGGCATAAGCCTTGTTCTGGAAAGTCTTGCTTTTATGAGAATGGGAAGATTTGGCTGCTGCTGTGGTGTATTTGAGCCATTAGAGCAAAGATTAAATGTTTCTAAACTGAAGCTACAGGCAAACATTAGAGCAGCTCACAGCAGAATTCAAAGATTAACTGTTTCTAAACTGAAGCTACAGGCAAACAGTTCATAAGATCAGCTGTGAGGAAGGTGCTTTCTGTGTCCATTAAGCCTTGTCCCCTAAATCAGATTAAATGTACACTTGGGGATGTGACAAGATTTCCATTAAAGTGTGTGACTCAAAGTGTAATTGAACCAGCCTGAAATTCAGCTCACAGCAGAATTCAAAGATTAACTGTTTCTAAACTGAAGCTACAGGCAAACAGTTCATAAGATCAGCTGTGAGGAAGGTGCTTTCTGTGTCCATTAAGCCTTGTCCCCTAAATCAGATTAAATGTACACTTGGGGATGTGACAAGATTTCCATTAAAGTGTGTGACTCAAAGTGTAATTGAACCAGCCTGAAATTCATTGTGCTGTTTTCTTTTTCATACCACTTACTGGTATGCTCAATGTGCAGATAGTCCTTTTGGTATTGCAATACAGAACCATTGGAAAACTGCTCAATAAAGATTCATCTTATCTCTCTATCTGCTGCAAAACATTTGGATCAAACTAGCTTTTTAGGCTCCCTGAGTGTCCAGTGGGTCCCTTTGTTCATTATCAGAAGGTCAGTTAAAAACTGTGGGGGATGTATTTCTCTCCACTGTTGCTGACTTCTCAGCTGACAAGAGCCTAGACATCAAGCTTCAAATAAACCGCACCCCAGATATGCACTTGTTGGCTTTGTACCTATTCTGATAACCTCAAGTAATTTTCTGTAGTAAATAGACAAGAAAGTTACTTCGAACATGTAAGAAAAGCAATGAACACTCAAGGAAGATAAAGCCAATACAAAGGCAAGGAAAATCCTCAACTGCTCAGTCATTTTCTACCATAAACACTGGGGTGCTGAAATTAGAAACTAAAGGAGTAGAGTTTGCAGAGGTAATGAAGTCAGGACTAAGCCTTAGTTCCTATCATTGCCCAGACAGACAGGGACTTCAAAGCTACTGTCTAGTATTTAGTCAAGAATAACCTTTCCAGAAGAGACCCTCCAAGGGGTTTTACGTGGAATCACAGAATGGATTGGGTTGGAAGGGACCTTAAAGACCATCTGGTTCCAACCCCTCTGCCCTGGGCAGGGATACCTTCCACTGGACCAGGTTGCTCAACACCCCATCCAACTTGACTTTGTACACTTCCAGGGATGGGGCATCCACAACATCTCTGGGCAACCTGTTCCAGTGCCTCACCACCCTCACAGTAAACAACTTCTTTCAAACATCTAACCTAAATCTGTCCTCTTTCAGTTCAAAGCTATTCCCCCTTGTTTTCTCACTACATGGTCTTGTAAAAAGTCCCTCTTCAGCACTTTTGTAGGCCCACTCTAGGTACTGGAAAGCTGCTATAAAGTCACCCCAGAGCTTTCTCTTCTCCAGGTTGAAAAACCCCAACTCTCTCAGCCTGTCTTCACAGGACAAGACATGGTGGAAAAGAAAACAAGACAAAAGTTTCAGGTTTTGGAATTACTTTTTTAAAATATTTAATTTCTAATTGTCGTTTTCTTTTCACAGCTGCTTGCAGAGGACTGGCCTTTCGGTGTTGAAGTGTGCAAATTAGTACCCTTCATTCAAAAGGCATCAGTGGGCATCACAGTGTTGAGTTTGTGTGCCCTCAGTATAGATAGGTGAGACGCACTTTTCATCAAACTGCATTTCTTTTCTCTATGGGCATTGGCTAAAATTCACCTTTCCACTCAGCTGATATAATACAAATGAGTTTAAGCCAGTTAAACCAGGTGGGTTTTCTCATATTTTTAGTTTGTAAATGTGTGTTGCTGCTTCAGGTACCGAGCAGTTGCCTCATGGAGTCGCATTAAAGGAATCGGTGTGCCCAAGTGGACTGCTGTTGAAATTGTACTGATCTGGGTTATATCAGTGATACTGGCTGTTCCAGAAGCTATTGCATTTGACATGATTACGATGGAGTACAGAGGAAAGGATCTCAGAATCTGCTTGCTTCACCCCACACAGAAAACATCCTTTATGAGGGTAAGATGCTGATATATATAAAAATCCCTGGCCCAGTTCCTTGGACCTTCTCAGTGTTGTGTGGATTGAAATGTGCACAGGTGTATGTGACATGTAGGTGAATATCATGTTCAAATGAAATACTGACATTTCTGAAATGCATCGAGTATTCAGAAACTTCTGGCTTTTTATGGGCTTTGAAAATACTACCGTCTTATCCTGTTCTCTCATCTGTAATGTACACCTTACAGAGATGCTTTTCAGGACAGTCTGACCAATTAGTTGTAGTACACTTTGCAAAATGTCCAGCATTGAACTCCTAACAATGTTTTTGCTTTTTTTCTTTCTAGTTTTACAAGCAAGCTAAAGACTGGTGGCTGTTCAGCTTTTACTTCTGTTTGCCACTGGCTATCACAGCATTTTTCTATACTCTCATGACTTGTGAGATGTTACGAAAAAAAAGTGGGATGCAAATTGCTTTAAATGACCACTTAAAACAGGTAAAATCTTATCTCTAACAACTCTGCTGACTGTAGACAGAATGACTAATACCTTTACTGACTTTACTGCCACACCATTATTCTGTTCCTGTGTGATAACTTCAAGTAAGAGAAGTTACCTAGCAGTGATGCTGCTGAACTCATGTACATACATATCCTCAGAAGCCTCAGAAACCTAAGATTTTAATTGACAATCACAAAATTGTTTCTTGTTTGGATTTAACGCCTCAGGTTTTATAGTTTTTATTTCTTCTTTACGATAATGAGAGCAGGATATTTTGTAATGCAAACTGAAGTTGTGCTGTAGTCTAGAAGGTGGTGCTATAAAACTGTTAATTATTTTGAAGCAAGTTCTTGCTGAACCCGAGATTAGCAGTATATGTTAGCAGAACAAAACACATTCCAGCATGCATTCCAAGTTAGTAGTGCATCAGACACAAACATTGTACATCACTAGAATTAAGCTACATTTCTTCTGTGATGTATATTTGTGCTCCTTTCCTCTTACCTTGTTAAAGATGTAATTGAATTTTCCTGGAGCATTTAAAATAAGACCTGTGATCAAAGCACAAGCAAATACAATTGAAAACAAGCTGGTATTTGGAAGTCATTGTGGAGAGAAATATATATATAATTTTAATTTAAATTGCTGTTTTCAGTACCTTGCTTTTCCATATTATTACTCATACTTTTTGAAATCAGAGATACAGTGAATCAGTGCAAGACATCTAAACAGTAGAAAAGATTCAGTACATATTCCAAGAAAAAGAAGTATTTGATGTTCTCCTAACTCCTATTTTGATAGGCTTTTTAATCTTGTTTATTAAACATTTGGATATCAGAAGACAACAGCAATCCAAAGAGAGACAGAAACTATAACACTGTTCTGTACAATTTTATTTCTCAGAGACGTGAGGTGGCCAAAACTGTGTTCTGTCTGGTACTTGTTTTTGCCTTGTGTTGGCTCCCACTTCATGTAAGCAGAATATTGAAGCTCACTATTTATGATCAGAAGGACCCCAACAGATGTCAACTTTTAAGGTGAGGCTGCAAAAATAGAATGCCTGTACATTGCTGGCATCCTCCATAAGCATGTTTGGATGTCCTAATGAACGAACTTACTCGGTGTGTCTGAAGTTGTGACGGCTTCTTCCTCCAGGACCCTCTGGTTTCACTCCAGTAGCAGAGACAGAAAATTGTGAGGAATTCCCTGTCTTTTCCCTGTCTTCTTTCTGATCCTTTTTGGGACTGTCCTATTGTCTTGTGGTGGTATGAGAGTGGAAGAGGGATTGCTATCCCTGTTTTCCCTTTCAGCAGAACAGCTAGGATTCAATTTGTGCAGAAAAACCTCGTGAATGTTTTCTTCCACAAGTTAAAGTGGTTGGATCTTCTGAAATTACTTTCACGAGAATGATCTCCTGATTCCAACTTTATTGTTGAGCACAACTGTTACCTCCATGAGTTAATCCTGTTGATTTAAGCCCCCTTACTATTTACGTTTAACAGTTAGTCTTGACTGAGTGAAGCCGAGTCCAATTTTCAGAGCTGTAAATCTCTACTAAGCCTTTTCAAAGAAAATGAGAACTATCTCACTTACTTTAATTTCCACACAGCTTTTTCCTTGTGATGGACTACATCGGTATTAACATGGCTTCACTGAATTCCTGCATCAATCCCATAGCTCTGTATCTGGTGAGCAAAAGATTCCAAAACTGCTTTAAGGTAAGAGGCTGCTGGGAGCTGCGTCTCTGGTTAAAAGATGATGTTAGCAGTAAAATTCATTACTAAACATGCACAAAGTGTTTTAAATGGTCATTAAATTTGACTTTAAATTTTAACTGGGTTATGGTAACTGTTCTCTCTGTCTCCTGTTGAAGCTACATAGAAAAGGATTAAGGTTTGATGGGAACAAAAAGAGAAAGCAAAAGAGCAGAGTGTACAGTAAACCTCTCTCAGCACCATGCTAATCAGTGCTACATCACTTCCTGACTGAAGCTGACACCCAGCCCAGCCACTTCCAGAGCACTGACAAAGTGCCTGGGACTGCACTGCAGAGATTCACGTAGCCATATCCTCCGTGACCCAGCGGGGAGGTGCTGTCCCTCGGCTCCCCCGTCCTGACCGAGCACTTATGTCAGTTACATAAGGCAGAGGGTGCAAGTGTCCACTCGCCTCTTTCCAATGACAGTGTTTTATGAGACATACCTGTTCATAGTTTTGCTTTGGTCTGAGACAGTAGACCTGGGCACTAATTCTCCATGCAGGATTTGAGGCTCTGGATTGCAGCCTATCAGTCCTTTACCCTTCATGCCTGCTTGGAAAATGTCCAGATTTGGGCAGGTTTATAGCCCCTTACCATCTTCAGACACTGTATCAGAGTTGTTACATCGCCTATGACAAATTCTTAGATGCTTCTTATTTTGCCAAGCATTTAACCATTGGCCACTGCTAGGCTTTATTGCCTGGCTGTGTAAATTCCTTACTGGTTATATCTTTCGATCAGAAGCCAGTCAGCTCTGCATCCAGTAGCATTAATGTTTTCCCACATAATTGTGACAGGACATGTTGCAGAGGTTTTAGTGTTGCTCCTGTCTTTCCTGTCTATGTTGCTGGCTCCCTGAGTCACTGGAGCTGAGAGATGTGAGAGATCTCTAGCATCCTGAGCATGGAAGTAAGTGGGTGTGAGAAAAGGCCACACAGTTTTTCAGTGCATTTTGCCACATGTGCAATACAAAGTGCTGTAAAATGCTTATTCCTTTTATTTTAACAGTCATGCTTGTGTTGCTGGTGCCAATCCAAAGATCTGTTGTCCCTGGAGGAAAGGCAGTCCTGTTTAAAGTTCAAAGCTAATGATCACGGATATGATAATTTCCGCTCCAGTAACAAGTACAGCTCTTCATAAAACTAGCATGAAAGGTATATTCTCTTACATTAATGCTGGTGCCTTTTTAAAGAAAAGTGGCAGTTGCTTTTAACACAATGGTAACGTTAAGAAAAATCTAGTCTTGTGTTTGCACAGAAAAAGAACATAAACCAAAATCGCCCCAAAACTGTGTCACTTTGAAAATCATGGACATTTATAAAATCATCGTTTATGGAAATGAAGAAAAGCGTAGAAAGAAGAACTCATTGTTAGCACTTGAATACTTCTGAGTCAGCACTTCCAAATGATCCTCACTTCCTGTGCATTAAATGATCATTTGTATTCTCTATAACAGTTGTAGGAACTGAAGTCACAGTAATTACTTAGCAGTATAATATAATGTTAATTGGATGAAAGCCATTATTATATATAACTCAATGTATTATCTTTTATAAAGCAGATTAACCACCATCACTATTGTGAGTTTTTTTTTAATAAAGCATGAAATACTTTGTAATGGAAGTTTAAATGTAAAATAAAGTTGAATTTTTATCAGGGATATTATAGAGGTAGCTAATGAAAATATTAAAGGATGCAACAAAATCAAAAGTGCATTTTTCCCTGATGATTGTTATTACCTTATTATTGTTAGAAGGAACCTCCCAAGGCCTCTATAAATACTATTCTGTAGCCACTGTGCATGTTCAGTGCACTTGGCAGCACCAAGAGCAAAAATTAATATTACTAGAAACATGCAAACAATGGCTAGTATTTCATCTTTTAGCTGAAAACAAATTGATTGCACCCCGTGTAAAGAGTGGGCATTCATGATTCTTTACTCAAGATACTTTTGTGACAATTTACAACTGTTTCTGCAATCCAAAAACTGTCTTGGGGCAAAATTATTTAGAAATAGGTGGAAAAAAGTGTAACCAAGGAAAGCAGAGAGAATTTGAACTTCTATTTTCATTTAGATTTAAATCTTCATAAAGAAAATAATTCATGAACTACTTCTAGAGAACAGTACTATGTAGCATACTCATCTTCATACTGTTTTAAAATATGTTCTACTTCTGTAGTTCCATATTTGTGGGCTTAAGAAGATGTGTGATTAGTTTCTGCTTCTGTAAATAGTTTAGTGAAACATAATTAATTGTAAAGTGTTAAGATATGGGCAGGACCCTGGAAGAAAACAGAAGGATAAAGATGCCTGTAGTAAACATGATGTGTGTTGCCGGGAGCAATGCATGTTTTGTATATATATGACAGGTCATTCTTTGGCTTTTTGTTTCCTATTAAGTTGTTACAGATGTCCCCAAAGACTTATTGACATATTTCATGCACTAAGGCATGAGTTTTTCAAAAAAAATTGTCATGTAACATGTCTTTATAAAAGATATGTTTTCAATAGGCTTGGTATTTTATTATAAGGAAATTATTTATCAAAACTCAGGAATTTTTTTATTTTACATTTCAAAATTTTCCACATAAGGGTTTTTACCTTTTTTTCCAATCTTGATTAACTTCAGATTTTTTTAATAAAGCGCCTTAAGTATGCTCAGGATGAAAACAGCTTTCATTAAAGTGTTGAGTTGAGGTTACCTTAGACGAGCTTCATCTCATCTGACTTTAGGTAGCTGTGGCTACCTTGCAAACAGCTAAAAATGGGAGAGCTGAATCCCACTCCTGGTGTTGCCACCATCAGAAGCTAGTAAGTGTATGCTTGTATAATCAAGCTGGGGAGGACCTATGCACATGCATTTGAGCGTGGGCATGTGTGTGTTTGTGTGCGTGAGTTTGTGTGCAAGCATGTGTGTTGTCTACCACTAGGTTGCTGTTACCATCTTTCTTCAGCACACACACCCAACTGCTATAATGCTGAACTTGTATAAATATAAATCTATTTAAAGTTTTGTTCTTTACATTTTTACCTTAACTTTCATGGTAACTTTCTCACAGTAAGCCATGAATATCACTTCACCCTACCTGCATCTATTTCTGTGAAATGTGTTTCATCTGTTAAGGATGGATAATCAGTAAAATCCTAAGTTTGATACTGATCAGTGTTATTTTTATCACGTTATATTGTTACAATATTGTACATGTATATTATCGTTATTTTTATTTAAAATATAGCTGTTGTGTAACATAATTTTCATTTTTTTCTGGACTAATTCTTTGTTAAGACAAGTCCTGCTAAGTCAGATATGTAGGTTTATTTGCAAATAAAGACCATATATGCTGCCCTTGTTTTGGGTTAATATATACATATTAGTACACTTTTCATCTTTTTCAGTATTTTTCAAAGCAGTATTTTCATTGAAGCTCTCATTTCCTGTAATAAAAAATTTCAAAATTTCTGCTTTTACACAATTCTAGTTAAGATTATATCACTTAATACTCAACACAAATGTTTTCTGAAATTGTCAGTACAGGTCTATTCCTGCATTCACTGAAATTGTGAATGGTTAACCATCCAATTCGGTTGGAGCAGATTTAGGGCACGACAATAGCTCTTAAAAAAACCTAGTTGACATTTGCTAGCTTGAATAAAAAGCTAAGTGTTTTGGGGTTTTTTTGAGGAGTTGATTAGAAAAGTTAGGAAAGGAGGGTAAAATCAGCTCATGGGGTAAACTGCCAGTCTAAGGCTCTCTAAGCCTCACACAGGGTCACAGGTAGCAGAACAGCTGTGGAGAGTCACAGGAGTTCAATGTACTTGCCCAGAGTGGTGTGACAGAGTAAGGGGCATCTGTCCCAATGGTCTGAAGAGTTGGCACAGAATAGCTTGAGATGAAAAAAAACCAACTTGTAAGAAACTACATCACTGCTGTGTGTTTTGGCCTTCAGATAGTAGTTCCCCAGCTGCTCTGAATTCTGTCTAAACTGAACTGAAACACTGGTACTACACCTCAGATAATCATATGCAAAATTTGATGGCTATGGAGCATCTGCTGTGAGCTGTGACATTACAGTGTCCCAAACAGCTCTCAATCAACACATGGCTGGCTCAGCAAGAGAATGTTGTTTGTACTGAAATAATGTTTAAAGGATTTTTTTAAATTGTTTTGTATAGCTGTGTAAAATAATTCTATATTTCAATTTCTGTGATCACTTAAAATAGCAACTTCTATGGTTCAGACAGTGTAAACATGCTAAATTACCAATAAAATATTTGTAATTTTGATTCATTAAAAAAAGTCGTCTGACCTTTTTTCTTCCAAGGGGTCCCATTTAATTGTTAAACAGTGACAGTGATATAAAAAGAAGTAAGCAACTCAGAACTAAATATCAGAGCTTTTGGGCAGGATGGTTTTATAAAGCTAGTTGAAAATTGGAGGGAGTTCAGACTTGCACATGTGTTGCAAAATTGTCTGATGTTTATTGGAACAATCGTGCCTATCTTTGCTCTGTTTGTTTTTGCTCAGAATGTCAGTCACAATCTCTTCTCTACACACCCATATATAGTCACAAATTCTCTTATGTTAGAGACATCATCCATTAATTTAGAAGTGCATGCACTCAAAGCTGGAATATGCCTCATAAAAAACATCATCCTTTTGTATGCTAACAGTGTAATCTTGTGCATATTTCAGTTTACCTTAAACAGTTGAAAACAGTGTCAGACTAAATAAGATTCACCAACCACTCATTATGAAGAAACATTTTTTGCGTATTTCTTCTATGGTCCTCTCTCCAGGTAGGCCATAGTCTTCACAGACCAACTAACTTTTTATCTACTGCAGTCTTGGACCTTTTATTGGGAAGATTAACTTCAGCTTATTGTCAGTTTTCTAAACACACTAGAACTTTCCCAGCAACATGCATACACATGTAGCTTACATTCTTCAAACACTGACTCACCCTGACCACTCTTGAGAAGGGCACATTTGGCATACTGGTGTTGGCAGAGTAGGATGGTCCTGCCTAATTGGCAACCTATGGCTGAGTTTGGTCTGTGGAGTGTTTCCACTTCTTACTGCAATCTCCTGCTTCTCTGACCACTGTGTTCTTGTAGTCTACTCAAAAAGGTCCAAGAGTTCTCCATGTCCATGCTGTACACTTCCATTCAAATTTTAAGCCAAGTTGCTGAACACATCAGAAGACCAAGGGAAACAAGAGGACTCAAAATTAGTCTTGCATGTTCTTCTGGTCACCTTTCTTCTCAGTCAGCAGTGGTAAGAGTACTGCATTACATAATAACAGTAGTCACATGGTTCATTGTCTTGCAATCACTGATTAAAAATGCTATAATTAAATTAAATCCTGACATCTATTTGATCTTGTCAGTCTTTCTAAGTACTCTGGTTTAGCCATGAAGGAGGTCCCAAAGCTCACCTTCACCAGGGAAAAGGCACAGTCCACCCCCCCAGTCCTCTTTCATTCTCTTGAAAAATTATCAGTAAGAAAAATCTACTGTAATTAAAAGTTAAATGTTCAGAAATTAATATTTTGCCTTAATAATGTCCTAAACCTCCTTGAAATTTTCATGACAATCCAAGGATGTCCTGTTTGTGGGAGGTAGTATCTGGCAGGAATTTTAAAGTCTGATGTGGCAAGTAGTGAGATCATACACCTCAGCACGGGGCTATGAATGTTACAGGATGTGAGGCCACATCAAAATTTTGGAACAGTAATGTGGAAAACACATCAATATCTAGATGATACTCATCACTGGATATCTACAATTATAACTTCAGTGTGGCTACAAACCCACATCCTCTGTAGCCACCCTAGAAGAGATCTCCAGAAATAAGGGGGAGTCAAATCCTGAAATGCAGTAAAACCTGAAACACTGATAAGCAATTAGAGTAACCATACCTTCTTCACAAACCACATGCTGCAGAAGTTGATGCTACTTGTTGTGCGCTTGGGGGAGAAGCATTCGTTACCCTTTTAACTTTTCATGACCTTCATTTCCCAAAGTTTCAGTGAGTAGCTCACAAGTCTGATTACCCTGAAGGAACAGATCAATGGTGAAACCAAGGGAATCATGGGATTTTCATCTGAAATCAGGGACTTTCATCTGAAGCTCTCAGGAAAAAGAATAATGTCAAATCCCTGGGATGCTCACATCTTCCCCAGACAGATGGGTTCAACACATGCTTAGCCTTTGCAGGGACAGGACAGAAACATTCCAAGCTAACAAAACCAAAAACAGGTGGATTTAGTAAGTCAGAGCTGCAAGTGAGATGGCAGAATTCAGGCAATCCGGATACATTATTATTTTTTGATTATGAAACTGAACTGGACAAGCATCATAATTGCTAATGAGTGTTCACAGGACCAGACTGGAACTTGCGAAAGGTATAGGAAGCTTTTCCCTGAATTACACCTGCAGCACATCCTACAAATTTTGCCCCATTGGTCTTCTTAACATACTAGCATAGACATAGCATGAAAGGTTCACTTCTGCTGCACTTGAATACTCAACACATGCAATAACCAGACACATACACTTCTGATGCATATTTATATGAGTATATATATAAGTATGCATATGTATTTCTATATTTATATCTCTATAAAAATAGTGTATTACGTTATATAATATGAACTGTGGTATAGCAAGTATTTTTCATTAGTTTTATCTGAAAAAGCTTTCAATGAA